TTGAGAAGATAAAATTTCTCATCAGCTTCGAAATAGACCTGTTATGTGTGGTTAGAGCTTTTAGCCTAACTTTTGGTTAGGACCTGGTTGAAATAATGCTTTGTTCCGATTTTATGATTTTCTCTTCATTTCTAAATTCATAAAAACCAATGAGCACACTGTAAAATGTGCATTCAATATTTGCATCAAAAGTTAATTCTGAGAAGCATAGCTGGGTAACTTATAGAAGCATAAAGGAACACTCTGGTCACCATAACAACTTAATCTAAATGAAGTTAAGGTAAGAAAAGTGCCTAGGGGATTCCTGTTGACTGGCGTGTTCCTTTATTCCTGTAAGGATTCTTTGGTAATCAACATATTGGTGCAAACTACATGCACCAATCAGGTCTTAATTTCTTTCAAGGTAACTTTTTGTAAATTCACCAAACATCCCTTAGTTTTTATTATTCGGAAGCACTACTGGCTAGGGGTGGCCAGTAAGTGTTCAAAATCAGTTTAACGCTTAAAGGTAAGAATGCCATGGTGATCTTATGGCCCCATAAAATTGACATGAAGTGGTACTGGCACGGTGAGCGGTCCTTTCATATTTTGTATATTGTAATGCTATTTCCTATTAGTTACTTTTTTTCTTTTTTTCCCATTAGGATCTATGGAAAGAAACTATAATCTAGGAGGTGAAAGAGGAAAACGATAAGAAGAAATATAAGGACTGGCAGAGATTGCCGTTGATCCCCATTGACTTGAGATGTGGTACTTAATGCTAACTCCTAGAAATGCAGGAGAATCCGAATGTAAGGAACCAGAGTGGTGGACATATGGAAGAGGACATCCAGTCTCTTTCAGGATTGGCTAAAAAAGATGATTGTGACTTCCTGTTTATTCCAGTACTGGTTTAGAAGGTATCTGAGCCTATAACGTCCATGTTGGAGATAATTATGAGTCTCCTTCAGGACATGATCAGGAGCAGCTGTAGCCTCTTTCAAGAGCTGATGATGGTGCCCACCAGACAGTATAGAAAACGAACAATCACATCTTCCGCCTGACCAAGTTGTAGAAGCTGATACCCAAGAACTATGTTTCATGCACATGCTATGGACCTGTGAACGTATCAACCTGCAGCACTGCAATGACATGCACACTCTTGCACTTTCAAGTTACTATCTAGATATATACTATTCTCCACATAAAAACGAAGACTGCGTACTCTTTCAATAAATCATCACATTAATATGTTTATTAGTTAAGTTAAATAGTTTGAAATGGTCCCTCTGAGCACTATAACTGCTATAGCTCATTATAGCAGTGGTTATGGTGCAGAGTCCATGTGACTTGTGTTAAAAATATTTTGATTGTTTGACAAAAGCAGGGACTCTGGTGGCTTACCTACATTTTGGCCTCTCCGCAGCATCTGGGCTGAAGCAGAAGCGAGCTCAGACATTAGCCATCTTAATCACTGTGATACTGAGTTGCAATAGTTATAGTGCTAAAGTAACCCTTTAATCAGCCAGTCTAACATTGGCAGCAATGTTAATGCAGCGTAATACAGTTTAATTAATTGGTAAAACTAGAACTTTTTTCATGCAAATAAATGTTATTACATTTTTATAATAAAAATAATAAACATATACATGTATATATATATATAATAAATATTAAAATGAATCTGTCAATACGCACCACTTTGGCTTTCTCTTCCACGATAATTAGTTTTGCTATAATGCCAAATGCAATGGACTTCCCATACACTGTGAAATGTAAATGTAAAAAAACTGTAAAATGCGTTGCCAGGTTAATGTCATATACATTATTTTAATTCTTGCCAAAACCACTGTTACAGAGACTAAACTCCTATGTATATGGTGTGCCAGCTAAACAGTAAGTAAATTGCATAGATTAGATTTTAATTATACCTTCTTCCAACAAATTAACTTGTGCAAAGTGCAAATATATACAGCAAGAATAATCAAATAAAGTGTGGTAGCTAAGCTACAGACCCCCTGAGTGGGAACCCCTTACACCACTCAACAAATAAAAGGCAAATACATACAATATAGAGGGTGGATCACACTTGAATAATGTCTGTAAGAGATATAAATAAAACACGTAATAGTGTAGTAATTTCTGGATAATGGAATGTAAAGAAAGTGAGGTCTGGTACTCACAAGCCTGGAGCCAAATCTCATATGGCTCCCATGGATATCGCCTTGGGACTATTCAAGAGGATGTCCCCTTCCTTCTTCCACATAGGCTGTTAGCTGATCCAATTAAAATGAGATCCAGGGTCCAATGTATGTCTTGAAAAATACTATTTATTGTATAAAAGCAGTAATAAAATTTCATTAAAAGAAAAAAAAAATATAATAAAATAAATAGCTATATTGCTGAGCAAATAAGTCCTGCCAATTGGCTGTAATAGTCCAAAAATGACCGAAACGCGTTTCGCCCCTCCGGGGGCTTTCTCAATCGGTATAATTCCTTCCAGTTTGGCGTGCTTTTATCTCCCTGTCCGTGTATAACTTCCGGGTTCCGGCCGATGTCTATTTGGAACGCAACGTGCGTTCCAAATGTGGCCGTTTTTCCATTTCCGGGTGCGCCGTTTCACTTCCGGGTTCCGGCGGCGATGCATCTGGAACGCATCATGCGTTCCAGATCTCTTCTTCATTCTGTTCTGTGTCTCTGAACCTAAACATGTATTAGTGGAATTCACAGTGTATTCACTGTGAATTCCAGAATGCAATATTTAAACTGTGAATCATCTTACTATGTACATTCTTAAGAAATATTGGATACTAATCTTAAATATAATATTCCATGGAAGATAATATAAGTAAAGAATATATAGTATCTAATTAATGTAATTCAATGTTAATATCGTGCAGCACTAGTGACCATGCTGTGATAATCATGCTCTCACGTGAGGTGGTGATTTCTGTGATTTAAAAATAATTCATTTTCCAATTAGTGTTTAAATGATCTTTCCCTTCTATATTGAGAGGTCTTTAAACTGAAAAACTCTTTTTTTTTTTCCTTTTTTTCCTCCCCTTTTTTAATATATATTCAATATTAATTTCCATCTTGTCAATTTTTAGAATCACCATACTGACGTTTAAAGTGACAGTTTTCCAAACTTATGTTGTGCAGCAGAAAATCTCTATGTGATCATCAAATTGGAAATAAATAAAAAACTAAGAACTATGCTATTGCCCTAAAAAAAGGAAGATATTCTATATTGACAATCTTTAAAAGAAGTGACACATCTCAAAGTCTGCGTTTAACCCATGTGGTATAAGGGTATTGAAATTATATATAAATCTCATTTCTTCTATTCCGATTTTTTTATTAAAATCTCCTCCCCTCCAGTCTTTTTTTACCAGTTTTAAAGGACAGAAAAAAAGACTTTCAGGATCCTGATTGTGATGAGTTTTAAAATGGTTGGATACACTATGTGTCTCTAGTCCTTTCTTAATATTTCGTATGTGTTCCGAAATTCTCACATGTACACATCTTATAGTTCTTCCTATGTAGAGTAAATCACAGGGGCATTTTAACATGTAAACTACTCCTTTCGAAAAACACGTCAATTGGTCCCTAATAGTAAAATCTTTATTCGTATATTCATTAATGTTGGTTATGCATCTTTTTTTACTTATAGTGGTTCTACAGGCTAAACAGGTCCCACACCCATAAAAACCTTTACTTTGATTTAAAAAATGGACATTAGGTTTAGGTCCTTCACTGCTTTGTACTAAAGTTCTTTTAAGATTAGCTGCTCCTCTATATATTATATGGGGTTGATTTGGTAAAATGCCTTTTAAAACCGTGTCTTCTTGTAAAATATGCCAGTATTTCTTTATAACTTTATTGATTTTTTCAATTTCTGCTATTTTGTCTTTTAATTTGAAATTCACTATGAATTCCTGACACTTCTTACTTTAGTGAATAACCCCTTTAAGATTTCATATGCGAAAGGCAAAAAATAAAAAAAATTATATTTCTCCACCCTATTTGTAATGTGTTTTTTTGCAGTGACCAGACTTTAATAAACTTTTAAACAAAAATGGAACATCACATAAAAAAATGTTTAGATAAATTATAAGTGATTTTCAAGGTTATATACAATGGTATAAATTCCATAGTGACAGCTACCCAAGCTAACTGTGTAACCCAAAAAAAAAAAAAAAAATGTATGCCAAAAATCATTATAATATTAATTAGATTTGAAAATAAACATGTAGTTGTTGGCATTTTTTGAATTTAGTTGGTATAGAAGCAGCGACATCACAGGATTCTATAGCTTGACCAGTGCAACTGTCACTCCTCAGCTAGCTTTCAAGCGATTCAGAGGAGTTTTCGTGCTGTTATTCAAAAATTGTAAACGAACAAATATGGAAAATCCAACAACCACCGAAACATCATGTGGAAAGAAGAGGACAGGCAAGAAGAGGCAACGGGAGAAGACCGAGGAGAAGAAAGGACCAGACTGGAGTGAAACAGAAGAGCATTTGAAGAGAAAGAAGAAATGCGAAGGTAAGAAACAGTACACTGGAAATTGAGAAGGGGGATCCATTCTATTAGAAAATATTTAAATTCAGAGTGGTTTACTGTATATTTAATGTCTCAAAACGCAGTAGTACTCCTCTTATGGGTTCTTTAATCACAGTTACCTAAACTAACTTAACACTGATGCCTAACTTTAGTAGATTCCAAAAATCTACTTCCACCTTTTGGTTTTCAAAATATAAGGATTATTGTTGGAAGTGAGACGTTCTCAGTAAGATTTGAGCATTTGTTCATACGAGGTAAGAACATTAAAAATATATGTATCTTATGGTTAAAACCTAGTCAATCAGGACCCGAAGTAAACATTTCAGTATGTACTGTGTCAAAATAACAATAAAAAAAGTTTACATAATACAAAACACATTTTTAACAAAAAAGAACTTAGACGTTAATCTTTTTTTACATATGATGTTACATATGGACTATTTTTACTCTCCCAGAAGGAGCCACCATCCATCCTGTGGTTTCTCCAATGGAGACCAGCATTTCTCTGGAGAGATTTGCCATCCATAAAACCCTTGGACAGGGCAGCTTTGGCAAGGTATGTAGTATCCACCAAATGGTGCCATGTACTGAGAATTTTCTTATGGACAGAAATGAATAGTGAAAGCCTAATATAACACAAGAACCTGTTTAGAATAAAACGGAACCCAACTGTAGAGATCATTTTTAAAAGTTGTGTATTTAAAAGGTTTTCTTAACAGACATGTATCGGAGTTATTCACAAAAGTGAACATTGTTGAGAATTCAAACTGAATTTCAAATTTAAGGCCAAAGTAGCCGAACTGAAATTATAGTTGACCTGGAAAATCTTTCCAGTTTGACTAATTTAGCCTTAAGTTTGAAATTCATTTTGAATTCACTTGACATTTCAGGCTTTTCTTACTTTAGTGACTACTCCTGTTTGTGTAACTGTCAACAATTATTTAGATTAAAATTATTTCTCTAGTTAAAACGATATAATTGTAGTATACCCCTGTACAATACATTGTGCCGTATGTATTTTAAGTCCAGTTCTGAGGGTTCCAGCCAGCACAGCTGCTAAAATTATAAACATTTATTTTATAAACCGTGAGTTGTGCGGACCAGAGAAAGTTAGGGACTTAGAAAAAATCTTTAAGTTCAGCTTTTTGGGCTTTAAGCAAGTCAGTTGTCAGCTCAGTGTAATTCAGTGTTAAATCAAGAATCCTCAAACTTTAAATTAAAATAATTTTCAAATATGGATATATTATGGATGCATGGTGTTATGTTATGAACAATGGCATTTGTTAGTACCTGTTGTATTATTTATAGGAGTGTTATATCCATTTTACATAAAGTTGTCAATTTTCAAATGACTCCAACTGTCATGTCTGTCTGCACTTCCTGGTCACATGATTCCACAATGCTGTTAAATATTCCTAAATAGAGAAAAAACAATATTGAAGTGGTCTAGCAAACCACTTTCAACTGATAATGTGGTCTCTATGCCTTTCCTGGGCATGATCGCTTCCACTGTGCTCTCCAATAGGGGGTAACCCAAAATAAGCTGTTCCCCCTATTTTTTAGGCCTTATTTTTGTTTACGAGTTACTTATTCCCAAAGAGATACTCTATTCTTACATAGATTATTTTGAAACAGGTTCTCTGCCCCTGTTTCCTTGCACATGTTTTATAACTACATTCAAAAGCCAAATCCCTCATTTAGATATGCCACTGAGTGATGCAATATACCTCTTAACCCAGGGCCGTCTTTAAGGAGGGGCAAAAGGGGCAGCTGCTCCGGGCCCAGTTACTCCTGGGGGCCCTAAGGCAGCTGCCCCATGGGCCCCCTGCGGCACCTGAGGTAATCAGGGGCCACAGCCCTTTAATACTGCTCTGGACCGGCCCGGGCCCCTGTTATATGGGGGGTGGCTGACTACATACTGCCCTGTGAGTCTCTTTGTTTCCTGGGCATGCTGGGAGGCAGTGAGGTCAGATTGCTTCCTCCCAGTAAGAACTGATCACTTCCTCCTCAGTGCCGCTGGGGAGGAGGCACACACCACACGGAGGAGGATGCAAGCATTGTGGGGGAGAGGGACTGAGAAAGCTGATGGCAGACTCCCATCAGCCTGGGCCAGCAAGCTCTCACTGGACACCAGGGAAGCCACCTTTCTGTACCCAAAATGTAAGGAGACAGGAGGGTGGCTAAATATGTTTTGTTTTTTGTTTTGCTAATTTCTGATATCACTTTTATTTAAGTGTGTTGGTGTTTGTAATGTAACACACAGGGAATAAGTACATGTTAAAAATCCTAGAAGAACCTGACAGTTCCCTATTAAATATAAATTTAAAAAGTATTTATTTTAACATATTGCATCAAGTGTTATCAAAGGCTGTACACCATTTTCAAATGTCACTTTTGCCAAATTCTGGACCAGGGTATGTAAGAACAGAGTTGAGACATTATATTGGCCAAGGTTGCTGGGAGTTGCTGTCCAAGAGCTGCTAGAAGGCAGTAAATGTACACATATATATGTGTGTATCTGGCTGTGTTTATGTCCTTGTGTGTATCTGGCTGTGTTTGTCTGTGTGTCAGTGTTTCTGTGTGTATGTATACCTCATACACCTGTATGTGCACCTGTGTGTATGTTTTGGTGTGTGTGTAAGTGTGCATCTGAGTGTGTGGTAATGCATACATCCCAGCATTTTAATGCCAACACAAATACACTCCTACATTCCATCTCTAGCACTGTACACATATACACCCCTGCATTTATACCTTTATGTATGTGTGTATCTGAGTGTGTGTGTATATACCTGTGTCAGTGTGTGTGTGTGTATGTGCCAGTGTGTGTATATCAAAGTGCTTGTATCTGTGTGTCAAAGGGTGTGTATCTGAGTGTATGTGTATGTGCCAGTATGTGTCAAGGTGTGAGCATGTGTCAGTGTGAGCATGTGTGTATCTGCGTGTTAATGTGTATGTGTATATGTGTTATAGAAATCACACAACATGCAAACAGACCCCTGCAAACACAAACATTACAAACACACCAGTTTGCTGAAACACTAATACTACACACAAATGTACACATGTATTTAAAAGACAACACTACATCCAAACACCCCCCTGCATGCAAATACAAACATTACATGCAAACACATTCCTGTATTAAAACGCTAAAATTATATACAAACACCAACTCTACACACAAAAGTACACCTGCATTTAAAAGCCAACACTACAAACAATCACACATCCCTGCATTAAAATGCAAACACTACACACAAGTACACCACTGCATTCCAATGGTAACAGTACATACAAATACACTCCTACATGCACACATACACTCTATACAATAACATGCTGACATTCATTTGCACAAACACTGCTCAAAAATACAACCCTGCAAGGATGGTAGATCCCCAGCTGGCATAGCATCGCAGGAGTTGTATGACAGATGGGGATCTATCTTTTCTTTACTCTTGTGCTACAGGGCAGGCCTGATTTTTTTTTTTTGCACCAAGGCACTCTCTACATTAGTTTCGCCTCTAGGTTGGGGTGGAGGGAGTGATTGCATGCCCAGGGGGCCCAAACAGATGCTTGCCCAGGGACCAATCAATATTAAAGACGGCCCTGTCTTAACCCATACAAGTACTTTTATCCTGGGATCATGCACAGGGGGGCTTTCTGGGGTTTGTAGTCCTGTTGTTGGCATATAGTTTTTTTTTTTTTTTTTTTTATTGAGACATAAGTCAGATAAACAATACAGTACAGTGGCGACAACAACACAAGCAGACAAGCATGAGATAATTAACAGTATAATATCCAAGCATTACCAATATCATCACATATCAATATAAAACATTAGAAGTACAAAGCTATACTTCAGCTTATCTCTTATTCTGGTTCTTGTTTTTGTACTTTTGTTAATGGCTTCTCTGCATAAAAGAATGACGTATGTGCATGAGTCGTTCAGAGACATGTCTAGAAAGCTAGATGACCCACTCAGTATAAACTATACGACTACTTATTACACTTGTATTCATAAATGAATAACTGTGTAAACAATGGGATGTCTAACTGTGTAATAAAAACAATATATTTACAAAAAAAATCAGTACAAAGCTATGCCATCATATAGTTTGTGGTATGTCTCCTTGTGGTCAAAAAGGACTCATTTTATAAGAAAACATAAGTTAGTCTCAAGTAGCTAACATACACTGTGTAAATGAAAATGAGTACAGCTCCTGCAGATGTTTGCTTAAAAATAAGATATGATATATAGCTGACATGCGCTGCAATCTAATTTAAAGGGACACTGTAGTCAACAGAACAACTACAGCTTAATGTAGTTGTTCTGGTGAGTATAATAGCTCCCTTCAGGCATTTTCATGTAAACACTGCCTTTTCAGAGAAATAAATGTATTCGTTTACCGAAAGGGGACCACACACCCTGGGTAGCAAGTAGGAATTAGAACACAGAGAAACCACAACTTAATTGCTACTAGGTGGCCGCCATTCGACATACGAACACGTGGCGAGAACACAGGATGGCAGCCATCTTAAAACTTACGAATGTGGTCAGCGGGGCTTACGCATGAATTGCATGGAACTGTTTTCGGTACGGGAAACATGCGAACGCCATGGAAGTCCTGGATGAATACGTTCCCCTCCACGAATCAAACTGGCATTCGGTAGATAGCATCTACCGAATGAGGGGAACATTCACAGGTAACCAGCTGAACCATACGAACGGTAGTTTTCGTGTAGTTAGATGCGAACGGAGACCGGCTCTTGCTACTGATTCTATGGAACTGTAACTCGGATACCTCCACATGGCAAGCCGGTCAAACTTCCACACGATGCGACACGGAACCTACCGAACGGAAATTCGTGAGATTTGGATATGTGACTACCAGTATCCTCAGCTATCCAGGGATGTTAAAAGTATATTTGCATGTCTTATAAAAAGTATGTTTCTGAAATTGTCATAAATTGTAATGTTTCTGGCCAGCAGATAATTGAGCTTTGTGTATTGTAGAAACTCAATTATCTAGCCTGGCCCAGAGGAGGAGTTTTGTGTTGCATAAATTGTGAGTTCTGTGTGCCAGTAAATCAGTCTTGTTCCAGCATTAAGCTTTGGCTCATGTGTGGATTATTCGGCGATTCCAGGGATATTTCTGCTTATGGAATATTGAGTGCTTTTCTTTTATGGGAATAAGGGAATGTTTGACGGGGATATTTTCTACTACCGTCACAGCTTGTATTATTCATTTTATAAAATTGTGCCTTTCCTCTGATTGCCAGCAAAAAATAAAGAATTATATATATATATATATATATATATATATATATATTTTATGTTTATTGTTTTTTTTTATAAGTTTATTCTCCCAGTCCTGCTTGTTACCTGTGGCCAGTGAGGGGGGAGACTACTTTCCATGGTGGTCTGTTTGCCCTGTACAAGCAAGCTTCCCTCGTGCTGGCTTTAATAGTGAAGGAGGACCCAGGACATGCTTTCTTCTGTTTCTGAAGGGTCCTTTCTTCAACTATCGCAAGCCTCCAGCTGTCAAAGCATTGCAACGGGTTACCATGGAGAGAGAGCTGGAGAAAGGACACCCACACGATGCTCTACACACACATACATATGTATATAATAGACACATATACAGATACTGTATATATATATACCAATTAAAAAAAAAAAGTTCATAGTGTATTATCTGTCAGCCTTGGTTTTGCTCATAAGTCAAAGTAGTCCCTACTTTCGATTGTGAAATAAAATGAAACAAAAAAACAAAAAACAACCAAATCTAAAAATAACAACTTTGTATTAATTTCCATTTGTCAATATAAGTCATCTAAGTGTGAGAGTAAATGAATACACAGTACTTCCATGATGATTTTTTTCTCCTCTCTCTACAGGTTGTTTTAGCATCTGACCAGATAACCAACAAATGGCTCGCTATGAAGATCATCGATAAGCAACGCCTTATTGAAAGCGCAAGCAGCTGCCTAGTTGAACGCCGGGTGCTGGAAATTGCTGCCGGGAGCAAATTCCTCACCCATGCATATGCCACCTTCCAGACAGAGGTGCCAACATTATTACCTTATATTAACCCCCTTTTTAAACAGGTACTTGAAAGGAACACTCCAGGCACCATAACAACATAATCAGTATGGTGTTATGGTGCCAGATCAAAGGCTTACTTTTATGGGTTAAATCGTTAATGAACAGTTAACCCCAAAGAGCTGAATTAATGACTGTTTAACTCTGACTATCTCCAGGGGTGTTTTCAGGAGATTCCCATTCACAAATAGCTTGAGAAACATATGGATTTCTCTCAAGCTGCTTTGTGAATGGGGAACTACTGATTGGCTTTAACCCCTTAAGGACCAAATTTCTGGAATAAAAGGGAATTATGACATGTCACACATGTCATGTGTCCTTAAGGGGTTAAACCAGCATACTGAGGCTTCCTGCTTCAAGATTCAGAAAAAAGCAGAAAGAGAGCTTAACAGTGCTGGATTCAACTCTTTGGGGTTAAACCATTCATTAAGAGTGTAACCACCAAAGGTAAGCCAGTGCCCATTTCCATTAAGTTGTTATGATGCCCAGAGTGTAGTGGTTATGGTGTCAAAATGGCTTTACATAATGAAGGATTTTCCCAGAATCATAGCCCAAACCCTCTTCAGCTGCACATATAATATGAAAAACCACTTCAGCATTAACACATGAGAACCAAACCAGGATGGCAGTCACTGGCTGAGAGAGCTCAGTATGAGACGATTGCTGTGTGAGATTTCTATGTCTATACACAGCTATAAAATGGACTCTGCAGCTTTAGATTTTATGTCTGATGGGGATTAAATCATTATTTTCATTGGACTGTTTAGAGATTTGGGAGTTCTCAGCATCTCTTAGTTGAAGAGAATGTAACTTCAGAATAATCACAACGTGGAGTTGACTCCAAATACATCTATTGTTTTTATATATTTTTGGATTTATTGTCACCATACAATTTCTTACTGGGATGTTTTCTAGTTTGCATTTCCACCTACCATAGAAAGAGTACTTGGGGCCCGTTGACTATTAATTGATATTTTGTAAGTTTCCCTGACATTATAAAAGGCATGTCAGATCACCATGGGTTTTTGGAACAGATATCAACAGAGCTGGATAAAGACTGCCCAGGACCATAACCTTTACAATAAAATTGTGTTAGCAAAGATGTGGAATGCAATGACTCTAATACATTATTATTATTATTATTATTATTATTATTATTGTAGGCATTTATATAGTGCCAACTTTGCAGTGCTTTACAATATAATAAAATGAGGAAATTTAACAATAAATGAGACAATTACAAAATGTTAGAGGAACAGTAGGTTGATGAGGGCCTTGCTCAAATGAGCTTACAGTCTAGAGGACATTGGGTATAAAAACACAATAGGAAGAGTATCAAGGGGTATAGCAACCAGACAACAAGGTGGGAAAGTAGCAGAACTGGAGGTGAGAGTGGAGTCTGGCCCTTTAGGAGAGACAGGTTTGTGAAACAGAAGTTACTCTGGCCTTTATCATTATTTATAATTATATATTACAGGTTCTATATTGTTCCCTCCAGAACCTGTAAAAGTAGTTTACCTCTAACCAGTGGCAAGGTGATCTCCTCCCTGCAGCTCTGCTCTGCCTCGGGTAGATGATCACTATTGAGAAGCACTAGAGAAGTACAGGTCCTTGGCAATGCTTCTCACACAGAAGCACTGAATTCAATGTTTCTCTGTGAAAAGTCTCACATCTGCTGTTTCCTAAGGCACAGTGCAATCAGGAGGGTGCAACTTAGTAGCTTTATAAAAGAACAGATTTCTCTTGAAATCAATGTTTTTATAAAGTAAGAAATGAACAGCAATGTGAAATGCTTTAAGTGTTTGGAGTGTTCCTTTTAATACATTTAGAACCTTTGTATGTTTGATTTTTATTACTATTATTCTTATTCTTATTATCATCATCATCATTATTTCCATAGCACTGGTGTGTAGCCAGCAACCACATTACTGCCATACAGAATGAAAGTATACTCTAAATAGTCTAACCTTTATTCTGCTGCATCTTCTTAATCAGGACCGCCTTTTCTTTGCCATGGAGTATTTAAGCGGAGGCGACCTCTATGATTATCTTGATAAGAATGGAAGACTGGATCTCAGCACCACAACGTAAGATGACGTCTTAAAGTCATAGAAGACAAAGGGAGTATGGAGTAAAGACTTTTGCAGGATAGAATACAGGGTGCAGCAGAACCGATTAAGCAGTTTTGAGGGGTTATAAAAAAATTAACTGAGGTATATAGAGAAAAACAGTTTTTATTTTCGAATTCAGCAGTAAATACCATTTTATATAAATTAAGTTTTGAAAATAATATCCTTGAGAAGGCTGCCATTAGCAGCAACACACTGTTGGAGACGGTCTCTGAAGTTTTGTACAGCTCGTTCACACATATCGCGGGGTATGGCATTAACTTCTTCAATAATCTGCTCCATAAGCTCTGGTAGGGTGTGAGGGCAATGTTTGATTACTTTTTCCTTCAGATATCCCCAAAGAAAAGAAAACCATTGAGTGTATTTCAGGCTGTGTGGGCTGTAGCCCCATCCTGTTGGAACCAGAACTCCCCTAATTCCTCTTCTTCAACAATCTCTTCCATTCTGGGCTGTAGAAAATTTTCAAACATTGAGACATAATGTTCTCGCCTTCACTAGTACAGGCCTATCACTCCGAATTGTGATGCACCACACCGTTAGTTATGGGGAATGTAGCAGTCTTTCATGAATCATTCGGAGGTTATTTTGAGCCCAGTAGCGGAAATTCTGTTTTTTCACAGCTCCACTGAGATAAAAATGTGCCTCGTTGCTACTGAAGAAAGCTGCTGCGGGCGGGTCCTGTGCAAGCATTTGCTCACACAGATTTCTGAGTTTGGCATAATCTGCTATACTCAATTCTTGAGCCAACATCATCTTGTAGAGATGAAACTGCAAATCTAAATGAAGAATCCTCCTCAGACTGCAGTGTGACATTCCCAAAGCAACACGAGCAAAATGTCCTGAATTGCTGCTCTCACCAGCTGCACATTTCCGGTGTTCTTATGGACCTGCGTCGGCCACGTGTACCTCTTCTAAGTGTGGTACCAGTTTCCTACAACGGCCTAACCCATGACCGAATTGTGTTTGCATTAGGAACGGCGTTATTGCGCGTAATGTTGAGCCATTGCCGTAAAGCTCTTTGCGTTGCGATCACAGATTGGTTGTTGTTGATGGACGGAGCACAATGAGACTAGGTGTACCTGCCTCCCCCCACTACAGCCCGAGCATTGACCCCCTCAAAAATGCTTAATCGATTCTGCTGCACCCTGTATTTGCTAAATAAATTATAAGGCATTAGGTTTCAAAGAGAAGGTTTGTAAAAGTGGGTACAAAGAAATACCACCATTAAAGGGGAACTCTAAGCACTACAATAATTTCATCTCACTAAGGGTTCAATGTAATATCTTTGGATAGGCTTTTCGAATGATTTAATTTTCTGAAAAATATTTTAATATTTAGATTTTTTTTTTAGAATATTTAGTTTTTTTTTATTCTTTATTGTTATTGTGCACAGTTGTATATAAGGATTACGAGACATATCAAATAAAAGCCAATGCAGCAAGAACAATTGCAATAAATGACGTCAAGGGGCCTGCACATTTTACAATTTATACAGCATGAATTAAACTAATCATGTCCAAGTACTAAGTTAAATGAAGGCTGGAGGACAGACAGCTTGTTAAAGTCATGGAGGTTAATAAAACAAGAGATAATTAGCATCAACATGAAAACATGCTTAACTTCTGTAGGGAGTAGAAACACCCTGTCCACCTAGGTAAACGTGGCTAGGAGATACTGAAAAGTAAAACCGCGAACGAGGTCATGAAGTAAATACCACTGGTCTGGGGCATTATGATTCGGTTAGCAGGAGTAATGGTAAGTTCCCGAGCATAGAACTTTGCCCAGAACTCTGCACAAATGCAGTCAAAAGTCAGAAGTAGCTGGTCCGTGTGCAGAAGCATTTGTGAGAAGGTGCATATAACGGAAGGCCCAGTAGCCATCTTGAGTACTAGGCCTCGATCTAGTGATACGCCAGTAGGGTTAGATCTTGTCAAGGTGCCCACATAGATATTCCAGTGGAGACCGAGATATTCCCCCCGTTCCAAAAGGGGATGGGGAATAGGGCTCGGAGTCAGCAGGTGTCACTTAAAGGCTGAGGATCGTCCGCCTCCCCCTCCAGGGTTATGGTCTCAGGTCACATGGAAGCCTAGCAAGAAATGTGGCCAACGGATTCAGGTACAAAGGTGTCAGGTAGTCAGCAGGGTATTTCCCAAGGCCAGAAAAAGGAGCCAAATAAATTGGTCTCTTTGAGAAGCTGCAGCACCATGCGACTGTCTTGGTCGGCTGTCAGGCCCCGCCCCCAATATTTTGATTTTTTTTTTTATATTGTAGTATTTTTAAAAAAAATTCACTCTAAAGGTTTATTAAAAAATATTAAATCAATTGAAAAACCTAACCAACAATATTAAGTCGAGGCCTAAATTGCTTTTAGTGTTTGGACTCAAGTTCCATTGCACTGTCCCTCCATTCAGTGTTATAACATTTTCGAGCAGTGTAGCAATGAATCATGGTCTCTGGCCACCCACAATCCAGCAGCTACTAGCAGAGATTACACTTTTCCTTCTAACTATTCCAATACATACCAGCAATGGTGGCTGTGATAGCCTGAAAGTGATAAACTGACACTCTCTGCCAATCACTGCCACCCATTGCTGCTCAGGCCGAGGAAATGGACTAATGGGGACTTTCACTTAGCATTAAAACACTAAAATCTGTTGTCTCTCGCTCTGGCTTCTATGAAGAAAGGACACATAGATTTATGGGTTTCTATAGATAAATATAACAAAATTTGGGGAACTAGGGTGCCCTACTGGTCCACAACAATAAAGTGTCTCTCATACTCTTCCTTACAAGTCTAGTTCCCCACTAATCCAAGGGTACTTAGCAGCTTACTG